AATCCTGAGTGTGGGGGTAAGGGTAAAACCCTTTGCCGTCAAATTAATTCCGACTCATAGCGACCCTATAGGACAGAGTAGAACTGCTTCATAGAGTTTCCAAGAAGCGGCTGGTGGATTTGAACTGCCTACCTTTTCGTTAGCAGCTGAGCTCTTACGCAGTTTTGGAAAGGTGTCTAGGAAAGATCTCATTATAAAGGTGACATATAAACAAAGAGCTGAAGGAATATGCCATCTGATATATGGATCAGACAGAGGGAAAAGCAAGTACAATCCCTGAGATGGGAGGGACTGCGATGATGATAAATGATAACTGTAGCTACTCAAAGACTATTGCTGAACAAAAGCAATACATGATGAAACAAACAAAAGTCAATAAAGAAGCTGTATGCAGAAAAAACAAAACAGATTGTTAACTCACTTCCCCAAAACTTTCAATTGCCTTCTCCCTAGGCTAAGTTTAGCAGTAACTCCAGCTACTCCAGCAGTGAACCCCTTTTCTCATGCTATAGGTCAGAGTGTGTGCCCCAGAAATAAGCTTTAAGCACTACTCCAGAGATCTATTTTGACTTGGAGAAGAACAATGCTTAAACAGAGGCTGGATAACTCTTGTGAGGAAAGTTGTTGAGGTTCGTGCACGTCAGGAGGAGAAGGCTGAACTAAGGTCTTCTTTAATGCTAAGTATCTTTGCTATAATCCTGTTATAATTAAAAACCTTCCCACAAAGCTCTCTGCAAAGTGCTTTTCTTCACATCAGCCCTGAAAGATAGGTTATTATTAATTATGCACCTAAATAACTCTTTATAGGTTTTATAATTTTATAATTCTCTTTATGGATTTCATATGTACAGAAATTTACAGGCCTGATGAAAATTTTAAAAAATGGTATTTAACATAACTCCAAAAGTTTCCATATAGGTCCTCTGCCTAAAATTACCATGTGTTAAAGCAATAAAATATCAAATCCTCAGGAATATTTTGCATTACCAGTCAATTCTAGTAGAAATCTCTGTTTGCTTACAATTTTTTTTTTTTTTAAACAACCAGGCACAGCATAAGAGGAAGTGATCCTTGGGACATACTTGTTCTAAATGTTAACAAAGGAAAAGCAAAAGCAAATTATGTTTTTTTTTTTTCCTTCTCAGTAATAAGACCTTTGCTCCGCTTCCATTAAGATTTGAGTCTGCAGCCACTTACCTTCCACATGGGCAACCGTGGTGGTGATGGAGAAAAAGAGGTGCTGTTTATTATATATGGGACGGGGGAGTAGATGTTCCCAGTTCCTAACTAATCCTGATGTACTCTGGGCTTCAAGATCTCCCCCAAATGCCAAGGAAATCCAACCACTCTGACACTCCATCCTTTCTCCACATCACCCACTCCTTCCCAACCTAGTTCCCAGGGTGTCCACCCACACCTCTGCCCACCCTCCCCTCCTCAGAAGAGCTGTCAGATATTTACTCACAGAAAAGGGGTGCCAGTGTTAATCTGCACATTTCTCATTGGGCACAACTGGCCCATTTTCTTATAGATTCATTTTCCAGATTTGCCCTCAAAACCTAAAATAATCCACAAAAGGAATGAACTACTCAATGTCTATGATGAAAAATTGTAGACGACAATCCTGTTACAAAACTAGAATTTTCAACACACAAGCAGCACATGTTTAAAAGCTTCTCAACAATAAAACAAGAAGTTCTGAAATAATGCCTAATTGTAATTTCATTTTCTTTCTTATTGGAAGAAAAATAAACATTTATTAACAGTTCAAGGAGCTCTGGTGGCACAATGCTTAAGAGCTACGACTACTAATCAAAAGTCTGGCAGTTCGAATCCACCTCGGAAACCCTATGAGGCAGTTCTACTCTGTCCTATAGGGTCGCTAATGGTCAGAATCGACTCGACGGCAATGGGTTTTTTTTTTGTTTTTTAACAGTTCGAAGCTTACAAAAACACTCCAATACACCTGAGATAATTTCCCCTGAAATATAACCTTGCTATCCACAAGGGTCAGAAAAAATCACGAGTAAATTAAGATGATTTAATGCTTTGACTTCAGTTATGAATGAGTACATGGCAGGTAAAGTACTTTGAAATAAGTTGCAATCCAATTATCCCCTCACCTAAATTTTTTCATTCTTTTATTATAAGTTAGAATAAAATGCAGAGATGCAAATAAAAAATAACAAATGCACACAACAGTGAAGTCCCTGCTGTCATGGCAGAGCTTCCCTCTGGTAAGGGGTACAACAAACAAGAAGACGAATGAACAAGATACATTCACATATGGTTATGAACTTTGAAAGAGATAATGCTTGGGGATGTGGCAGAGAATGTGGGGGTGAAGGAGGCACATTTTTTGGGGGGGCAGTCAGGGATGCCTCTCTGAGGAGGTGACATATGAACAGAGATCTGAATGCTGGGGGAGGGAGGACCAGCGGCAGGTCGTCTATGTAGAAGGACCAGTAGGTGTCTGAGTCCCGAGAATATCAGCATGGGTAAACAGAGTGAATGGCGAGAGGGTGGTAAAAGAGGGGGTCAGGAAGGAAAATGGGCACTTCCTCTAGGGCTTGTACACTATGGCAATTTGAAATTAGTAAACTAGATACTGATTCATGTGATCGCTACAGAACATGCTTATATGCACTCATCCCATGCCACCTGTGGGAAATCAGAGACCCAATAAACATTTGATGATCGTCTCCAATGTGCAAAAAGCACCAATTCAGAAGAACTTTTCCAAGGGAAATCAGGAATTTAAAGAATGTTTTGTCCATTGTGATTTCCAAGATAGTAGCTAAGAATATAAGATTATTTTCACTAACAGACTCCAAAATAACAGCAAAATAACAATGATTTCATTTTCAACATTAAATTTATACTTTCTTAATGCCATAACAGAGAGGTTTTTTGTTTTGGTTTTTTTTTTTTTTTTTTGGTTAAGATCTTGCCATTCAGCTAAGGAGCACTGGTGACACAGTAGTTAAGCGTTTGGCTGCTAATCAAAAGGTTAGTGGTTCGAATTCACCAGCCGCTCCGCGGGAAAAAGATGTGTGAAGAGAGCAAAGGGAAGGAAACCAAGATTTACCAGGCCTGTAATAGGTACTAGATATATTTTTCTCGTTTAATGCTTACAATAGCCCTATGAGATAAGCATTACCTCCATTTTACTGAGGTGCAGATCAGTTGGGTAACTTGAGAAAGTCCACACAGCCAGTACTTAACTCCAAAGCTCATGCTCTTTCCTTTTCTAATCCTTAAAGCCTTCTGACTGAAAGAAGCTCTTCAATTAATAGCATTAATTTATTCAAAATGAACTTCTTCTAAAGCTTCTGAAAGCTCATGTATCCATACTGGATTTATAAAAGGAAAAAGAAGGTCCTCCAAAGATAGCCTGTTGCCTGTTGCTGATCAAAACAGCTTTGCTGAAAAGGAGAGGTATCAAAATCTAGAAACTGATTTTAAAAAAAAATCCGACAAGAAAGGTATTTTTTGACTGGTGTAAAGTATGAATGTATGGCAACACAGAAGGTGGCTTAAATGGGAGTTTACATATACTGGCACATGTCATGCAATACGGCATAAGGAGGGCCCAGAAGCACTCCACCTTGCATTGCAGAATCTCTAGTCCCATCTTGTCTTAGACAAAATTAATTACTCAGTCTAAACTGTGTGAAAATCAGCATATCTTGCTTCTGCTCCTCCGATAGTCACCAAATGGCATATGGTCATAAATGCTGGTCCACAAAAGCTTTTGGGAAAGGAGATTTGAGTTTGTCTGCAACTTTTGAGCTGCTTACTATGCTACTACCTTGAAAATAATCCTGCCTGTCAGCAAGTTTGGAGCAGGAACTCGTGATAAAATGGCAGTGAAACTCAGGAGAAAAACAAAACAGCTTCTTGTATAACCATTTTATTCAAACCTACACAAGTGTTCACTTAGTTCTTGTTTAGTCTTTAATTCCTAGAATTGTTCAATCAATAGTATTTTTGGATGGAAGGCTCCCCCAGTTTCCCCATCAACAATTTTTTTGACACGTTTGCATGGGAAACATTATTATTATTTTTTTTAAACTCATATTCAATAGAATTGTCTATTTTTGTCGAGTCATTTTGGAAATGACTAATGTGTCATTTTTCAGATTATCCTTGCACAACAGCAGACTAGATTTAAGATTTTAAAATCACGTGATTTATGTGGAATCCAAGTTTTGCCTGTTCCTGTCCCTCTTCGATCCACAGTTTATTTGGCTGGACTGTTTTCCCGTTTCAACAGCTAGAACACCATCCAAATGGACAAACAAGGCCACGGGGCCATTTCCCTCCACTCCACCCACGCTGCGCACAGCTGAGGAAATGGCCCCAACTTCCCGGCTCCTCACTTCAGCCCCAAATGGCCCTGGAACTGTGCCCGTCGTGGGACCCTATGTTCCTCTGTTCTCCTGTCAATTACCACCCGGCCTTTGGGGGCCCTCTCCGCGAAGTGGGGTCTGGCTGAAGATGTGGACACCGTGGAGGACAGAGGGCCCCCTCGTATCCTTGGCGACCTCCCTTCCCCGGGGGCACTCACCTGGAGCCCACTGAAGTGGGGAGTGGGGATGATCAGACACAAGAGCCCACAGGGGCGCGTGAGGCGGGCGTGCACAAGCGGGCGAGATGTCTGGCCCGTGATGCAGCCCCTCCCGGCTCGCCCTCGGACAGGCAGGGAGTGGAGAGTCTCCGCGGGGCGCTCGGGGCCGGGGCTCCCCGGCCGAGGAGAAGTTGCGGCAGGGGGCAGCTTACCCGCGGCGGCGGCGGCGAGGCCCAGCAGCGGCAGCACGAGCGCAGGCAGCGCGGCCCGGGACATGACGGCGTGTGCGAGCCCCGAGCGCGGGCTGGGCGGCGGGCGGCAGGGGCCGGGGCAGCGCTTCTCGGAAGTGCGGAGCCCGCGGCGGGATCCCTCCCACTGCGGAGGCCCCTGGCGGGAGGAGCGGGGAGAGGAGGGGATGCGACCCAGCGGTGACAACGTCTGCCTAGATCCCGTGGAAGAGGCTGGCTTACTGCCTTCTGGAAGTTCTCTTCTTAATTTTTTTTTTTTAACTTTTCATTTTGAACTGAAATAATTTCAGACTTTCAAAAATGTTGCAAAAGTAGTACGAAGAATGCCCATATCCCTCAGCCAAGTTCCCGAAATATTAACATCTTATATATCCACAGTACAGTGATCAAAATTAGGAAATTAACATTGGTATATTAACAACTAATCGACAGACCTTATCACATTTTGCCAATTATCCCTTTAATACCCTTTTTTTTGTTCCAGGATATAATCCAGGATCATGCATTGCACTGAGATGTCACGTCTCCTTAGTCTCCCTTAATCTGTGACAGTTCCTCTGTCATTCGTTGTCTTTCATGATCGTGACACTTTTGAAGAGTGCTGGCCAGCCCTTTTGTAGAATGTCACTGTTGTGTTTGTCCGATATTTCCTCTAGATTAGATTTAGGTGATGCCTTTTTGGCAAGAGTACCACAGAAGCGATGTGCCCTTCTCAGGAGGGACAACAGCTCAAAATGTCTCATGGCCAATGATGTTGACTTTGACCACTTGGTTAAAGTGCTATCTGGCAGATTTCTCCTTTGGGTTTAATGGCCAGAGAGCTCCTTTTCAAAGGCATCTCCGAATGAACTAGGTCCCTCGTACACTATTTGTCTGCCACAATCTGCTGGATTAAAACCAAAAAAACCAAACCTGTTGCTGCTGAGTCAATTCAACTCATAGTGACCCTATCGGACAGAGTAGAACTGCCCTATAAGGTTTCCAGGGAGCGGCTGGTGGATTCCAACTGCCCATCTTTTTCTTTTTGTTTTAATTCTTTTATTCTGCTAGTTACTCCTTCCACCTCAGGCATTATGATGGGAGCAGGACATAGGACGGAAGAGACAACATCATTGTCATCATTGTCTCCTACTTTAATTGGGAGGCAGGTAAAGAGATGCTTACAACATGGTTGATTCTTGCTGGCTCTATCAAGGACATCAGAGGGGCCACAGAGAAGAGGCTTCTAACTTGGGTATTTTGCCATTTCAGGGTTGCCCCTCACATACCTACAGAAGCCAGACAGGCAAATGGGCAAAGAGGGAGAGGTGGAAACTGACAAACTGGGAAGACATGTAGGCCTACTGTTGCTAAACTTCTGATTTTTTTCAAGAAAAGCCACAAATGTGATTTTTTTAAATGTGAGCTCTCTTGATTTTTTATTTTTGTTTTGTTTTTTATTGTATTTTGGATGACGGTTTACAAGCAAATTAGTTTCTCATTAAACAATCAATACACATATTATTTTGTGACATTGGTTGCCACTCCCACAACATGTCAATAGTCTCCCCTTCTTGACCTTGGGTTCCCCATTACCAGCTTTGCTGTCCCCTCCTGCCTTCTCGTCCTTGCCCCTGGGCTGGTGTGCCCATTTAGTCTTATTTTGTTTTATGAGTCTGTCTAATCGTTGGCTGAAGGGTGAACCTCAGGAGTAACTTCAGAATTCAGTTGAAATGGAATGTGGGGACCATATTCTTAGGGTTTCTCCAATCTCTGTCAGACCAGTAAGTCTGATCTTTTTTTGTGTGTGTGAGTTAGAATTGTGTTCTATATTTTTCTCCAGCTCTGTCCGGGACTCTCTATTGTGATCCCTGTCAGAGCAGTCAGTGGTGGTAGCTGGGCACCATCTAGTTGTGCTGGTCTCAGTCTCGGGGAGGCTGTGGTACTTGTGGTCCATTAGTCCTTTAGACAAATCTTGCCCTTTTGTCTTTGGTTTTCTTCATTCTCTCTTGCTCCAGACAGGTTGAGACCAGTGGAGTATCTTAGACAGCCGCTCACAAGCTTTTAAGACCCCAGATGCTACTCCCAAAAGTAGGATGTAGAACATTTTCTTTATAAACTGTGCTATGCCAATTGAGCTAGATGTTCCCCGAGACCATGGTCCCCAGCCCTCAGCCCAGTAATTTGGTCTCTCAGGGAGTTTGGATGTGTCTATGGAGCTTCCAGGACCTTGCCTTGGTCAGGTTGTGCTGATTTCCCCAGTATTGTGTACTGCCTTACCCTTCACCATAGTTACCACTTATCTATTGTCTATTTAGTGTTTTTCCCTCCCTCCTCTTCCCTTCCTCATAACCATCAAAGATTATTTCTTTTTGTGTGTAAACCTTTTCATGACTTTTTATAATAGTGGTCTCATACAATATTTGTCCTTTTGTGATTGACGTATTTCACTCAGCATAATGCCCTCCAGATTCATCCATGTTGTGAGATGCTTCGCAGATTCATCATTGTTCTTTATCATTGTGTAGTATTCCATTGTGTGTATGTACCATAATTTGTTTATCCATTTATCTATTGATGGGCACTTAGGTTGTTTCCCCCTTTTTGCTATTGTGAATAATGCTGCAATGAACATGGGTGTGCATATGTCTATTCATGTGATGGCTCTTATTTCTCTAGGATATATTCCTAAGAGTGGGATTGACAGATCATATGGTATTTCTATTTCTAGCTTTTTAAGGCAGTGCCGTATAGTTTTCCAAAATGGTTGTATCATTTTGCATTCCCACCAGTAGTGCATAAGAGTTCCAATCTCCCCACAGCCTCCCCAACATTTGTTATTTTCAGTTTTTTTGATTTGTGCCAGTAATGTCAGGGTGAGACGGTACCTCATTGTGGTTTTGATTTGCATTTCTCTGATGGTTAGTGATCGCGAGCATTTCCTCATGTGTCTGTTAGCCGCCTGTTATGTCTTCTTTGGTGAGGTGTCTGTTCATATCATTTACCCATATTTTAACTGGATTATTTGTCTTTTTTGTTGTAGACATGTTGGATTTTCCTGTAGATTTTAGAGATTAGAACTTTCTTGGATTTGTCAGAGCCAAACATTTCTTCCCAGTCGGTGGATTTCTCTTTTTACTCTTGGTGAAGTCTTTTGATGAGCATAAGTGTTTAATTTTTAGAAGATCCCATTTATCTACCTTATCTTCTGGTGAAACTGACAACCTTTTGGTCAGTAGCCAAGCTCTTAACCACTGTGCCACCAGGGCCTCAGCTCCTGGATTAAGGGTCTTTAAACTATGTGTGCCTTCCAATCACTTAACTTGACCAGTGATGACCTCTGGAACCAGACAACACAATCCACAAGCCAGGGCCAAGCAAGGCTGCTTGTTTAAGCCTTCACAGAGCTTCATCTCATTGGCAAAAGAGTCCTTTAAAATTGTATTTAACCCTTTCCAATGCTGGCCACTTCTCTAATAGTCCATCCAGTCTGACATCAAGTTATTGCCCAAAGAAAATCTGACCAAATGGGTCTATAAGGAGAGTTATAGAGTATTAGAGGTGATAGGTGCCATCTTCATTTACTGATAAGGAGATAGAGGCCAAAAGAAGGGACCCAACTTGCCCATGGGCACACAGTGAATCTCAAAAAATGAACCAGAGCCTAGGTCTTCTGCTGGACAATACCACCCACTCTAGGTTCAGCCCCTTGCCAGAGTATCAAGGTCTTGCTTGATTTATTTCCATTCTTTGTCTCAGGCTGCCAATACTAAACCCAAGCCCAAAGTGAACCCTTTCAAAGCTACTGTAAGTTTAAATATTTAAACATCCCAATTCTGGACTCTTCTGTCCTGTTAAATACATAAGTAAAATGAATGGTTCTATGCAATTATGTAATTGAAAAATTCTCCTCTCCATCCCTATCACAGGCACAAAAGTATATGTTATCAATGTGTATTACTTTGGGTTAAACTAACTTTCAAAAAATTAGATTTACAATAGAATTGACATCCTAATAAATTGGTCTAATTTAGGCAAATAACTCATTTTAACAGTGTTTCATTAGTAATTACTAATTCATTTGAACTAAGAGAAGGTATATTCTTTCCACTGTAATTCTGATGCACAGTCTCATTTTTTATGCTAATATGATGAAACAGACTACTCCTATGTGGTGCAATGTGATATTTCATTAAAATCTCTCTCTGTGATGTGCTACTCTCCAATCACACCTCATACTTTTTCTTTCCCTCTCACTCTAACTTACATCGTCTTTGACCTCATTCCCTTAACTTCCTTTTTTGTCAACCTCTCAATTCATTCTCCCTTTTCCATCCAGCCTGGACATCATATCCTCAGTTCCCCTTGTTCCTCTGTTGTATCACCTGGCCAACCCTGAACCTGGAGTCTCTTATCTTTCATTTCTTCATGGTTCTCCTTTTTCTCAACTTTACTTTAGTAACAGAACAGGTAGAGGAGATCAATCAGTTCTCCAAGTGATTTTCACTACAAATATATGACTTCTAATTTCATCTGGTTCTGTTTGCCTCGTCTGCAATTCTTTTCTTTTACCTAGGTCATTGTTCTTTCCTGATTTTTATTACTCTGTTTAAGCTGAGGCCCCATCCCCTGTCCCTATCTTTCTCAGCAGAAGACCTCGCTTTCTAGTCAACAGGAAATTGTGGGCCATCAGGTATAGACAAACATCTTCAAGTACTTCTGTTTTCCTCTTTTCTTTCATGTAGGTCTTCCTCCTCTCCTGTGGCCCCAGAGAGAAAACCATGCCTCCATCCCCACACCACACTCACCCCATCCAAACCTAGTTCCTCTTTCTGTGGGCTTAGATCTGCTTCTCTCATTTTCTCCAAGATCTTCTTCCATTAATTACCCCCATCTCTCCCTTGCATCATCAACTCCTCTATCCACTTTTTTTTTCCTCCTCCTTCTCAGCTTCTAAACCTGCAAATATCTTTCCCCCTTCCCTTGGGGAAAAAAAAAATCCTTCCTCTCCTTCTCCCTTTAGCTTTCCATCTTTGCCATACTTCTCAAAATCTCATGTTCCCCACTTCCTAATTTCCCTTCACTCTTCAACCCATTTCCATCTGGATTCTGGCTCCACCACTCTGTTACATTTCCCATGACTAATGTCATTGTTTTCCTAATTCCTAGAGTTCAGTTTCTATCTGAATTTTCCCCTCTGTTGTTTAGCAATTAGCATGATACTGACTTGATTCTATATTGTACTAAAATGGTATCTACCCAGGGAACCACGACCCCAGGGCTTCTCAGGACTGATCACCTCTCCACATAAGATCTCTGAGGCAAGGTCCATGGGCTGAACCATACTGTGCATCCCTTTGGCCTGAGATGATTAGGTTTTGATAGCTTAGAGCAAAACAGAGTATGAGTCCTCTTGTGTATTTCTGCTTTCCTAGGCTAAGGAGAACTCTGCACACATGGGGTCACATTGGGTCATCATGAGTCAGAATCCACCTTGACGGCAAACAACAACTGTGCCAGGAGTGTGAGAAATGGGATGAAGAGAAAAGGCTGATGATGGAGATCAGTGAGGAGGATCGTGCAAATAATCCAGGGGGAAAAAGGATAAGGACCTGAACTAAGACTGCTGGCAATGGAAATAGCCTGCTTTGTGAGAATTACGAGGTAAAATCGTCAAAGTTGTTGAATGAGGCAGATGAGAAAGAGAAGATTTGAAGATGAGGCCTACGTTTCTGGCTTGGAAGACAAGGTATATGGTGTCTTCATATTAACTGAAATAGAATATAAGAAGAGAAATGGTTTGGGGAATATACTGGAAGTTTCTAAAGTTCTGTTTATGATTATCTCAGCTTGGGAAAAAAGGAAAAATATGTTATATTAAATTTGAGGTGTAGACATAGCGAGGAGCCCTGGTGGCACAGTGGTTAAGAGCTCAGCTGCTAACCAAAAGGTCAGCAGTTCAAATCCTTGGAAACCCTATGGGGCAATTCTACTCTGCCTATAAGGTTGCTATGAGGCGGAATCAACTTGACGGCAATGGGTTTATTTATTTTTGGTTTAGACATAGTGAGAATGTTAATTTAGAATACACAGGGAATTAGAGATAACTTTGTACCTATCATGAGGTCTACTCATAAAAAAGTTTTCTGAGAACTAGTAAAAATTTGTCATCTTAAGTAAGATGAAGTTGTTGAACGAATAACAATTATGTCTTTGCTTCTCCAGGAAAGTTTTGGAATTAAATGAGCCTAAGATAAAGAAATCTGACACTTCTGACAGCCCCCTCTGGTCCACAAAAACTCAGCAGTAGGGTTAGGACTTGGGGTTACCAACACAACAACCATCTGCAAGGGGAGAATTCCCAGATAATGAAAGTATCTCGCTCTAGAACCAAGAATGGGAACATGCTGGAAGGGGAGGGAGAGAATACTGCTATCATTTCTTTTTTTGTTCCCTATACTTAATCATTAGGTCTGTCTACTTGCATTTTTAGGTGCCTGGTGTTGGCAGATCAATTTTGTCAGACCATGTATGGGACTGGGGGTTAGTTAAGGAGAACTGACTTTAGGTCTTCTGAGGCATCTGGAACAGGGGGAAATGGGGAAGACAGTACAAGAAGTTCTAGACATGTTGAAAAGAACTTTCATATGTAGATTGTCCAGTGGGTAGTTGGAAATAAGAACCTGGAATTGTCTATTTTAACTATTGGCTTAGAAATAGTTGCTGAGTGCCTTGGGGGTGAACAGGATCTCCTAAAGGGAATACAAAGAATGAGAAATTTGAAAGTGGAACACAGATGGAATCACTGCTGATCTTGATAGTTTAAAGATACACTAAACAACCTCGTTGCCATTGAGTCGATTCCGACTCATAGAGACCTTACAGGACAGGGTAGAACTGTTCCATGGGGTTTCCAAGGTTGTAAATCTTTGTAAAGCAGACTGCCGCATCTTTTCCCACAGAGCCACTGGTAGCTTCAAACCGCTGACCTTTCGGTTAGCAGCCGAGTGCTTAACCACTGTGCCACCAGGACTCCTTCACCAAACAAGAGGAATCTGAAAAGGGGGCTGAAATCAAACATTCAGAGACATAGGAATGATTATATTTATTTTTTTAAAAAATGCACACAAAATCTCTTAAAAGATGCCTCTTTTTATTTATGATAGCGGGACAATTTCTTTCTGGTCATACCATATGCCTGACATAATAAAGCCCAATGTAGAGAGATATTTTTTGCAACAAGGATCAACTACAACACTTTTATTTAAAAGATAAAACAACTTTATTACAACATCACCATTATATATAGCTGTACTTTTCACATCAATTTGGCTTAGTTCTTTGAGTAAAGTCTTACCTACTACATTGTACCAATCTACAGGAAGAAAATTCATTAGACAAGTTTGATAAAAAATATTTCAGGACAACTGCAGACTATATTAAAACCGTCTTATAAAATTATTTACAACTTTATCATAGTATAAACACTCTCCACTTTACAATATGCATGGATTTTATATAAACACATACCCTACAGTACAAATATGAGTTAAACACTGAGGAAAACATTTACCATGTCCAATGGAAGCTATTATTAAGAATATATTCTAGCTGGTATACATTTTAAAGTGATACCCACAAAACTGTTTCCTTAATCATTCATAATTTTAAACACTTTAGTAGTAATCACAAGGTTTAGAATTTCATTGTAAAGTATTCGTTTTTACAAATAGAAGATATACAAATGATTTCCCCTTCCCTGACCCTTTCTATTTTTAGCTCATGTAAAAAAGCAACAAAGTAATAAAAAGTTCTCAGTCAAATCTGACATGCAATATTAAGTATGTAATTTGTCAACTTTTCAAAAACTGTTATCCCTAGTTGATTCCCTTTAAAAAGGAAATTGTTGAATTTAGTATATAAGAAAAGACAAAAAAACATTCAGGAAGGGTACATAATCAATCTAAAAATAATGTTCCCACACTTTAGGAAACATTAAGTACTACATTTTCTTTAAATGACTGTCGTTTTAGAAATAATTCTGAAAAGACAAAGACATTTGCATTTAAATAATTTTGGTATGAAATATCTTTGGAATAGCCTAAGAAGCATCTTGCCAAGAGGCATCGTTTGGCTGTATAAAAAATAAGCATGTTTCTTGTTATGGATTGAACTGTGCCCTCCAAAATGTGTGTCAACTTGGCTAGGCCACAATTCCCAGTATTGTGTGGTTGTCCTCCATTTTGTGATCTGATGTATTTATCCTATGTGTTGTAAATCTTAACCCTTATGATGTTAAATAGGCAGGATTAGAGGCAGTTATGTTAATGAGGCAGGACACAATCTACAGGACTAGGTTGTATCTTGAGTCAATCTCTTTTGAGATATAAAAGAGACAAGCAAGCAGAGAGGAGAAGGACCTCATTGCCACCATGGAAAAAGAGCCAGGAGCAGAGCATGTCCTTTGGACCCAGGGTCCCTGCGCTGAGAAGCTCCTAGGCCAGGGGAAGACTGATGACAGGGACCTTACCCCAGAGCTGACAGAGAGAAAATGTCTTCCGCTGAAGCCGGTACCCTGAATTGGTACTTCTAGCCTACTAGACTGTGACAGAATAAATTTCTGTTTGTTAAAGCTATCCACTTGTGGTATTTCTGTTATAGATAACTAAGATACTCATTGTTTAAAAAAATTTTCCCCAAATAAGACAAATGACTGTTTTCAAACAATGTCGATATTATTTACAGTTGGGTTCGTACCTTGAGGTACTATTTTTGAATTTGACAAGATGTTCTTAAAAATTAAAGGTTAATGTGTGACCTAGCATAGTAATATGCTGATTTTAATTTTCTAAAAAGCTGTGCTAAGATGCAATTAAAATACACATATCCTAGTTACCAACCACCTTCTTATAGAGAAATTGCACATTAAGTTTATTACCCTCTGAACAATTTCAACTTCAGTTCCAGCTTCTCCATTCTATTAAGCAGAGTTACAAACATGGCATTTAGCAGGCAATTAATTGTGGATACCAGGATTACAACTAAACAACTGGAAAAGTACTTACAACTTCTACTTTGGTACAGCGTAAATACTGACACGGGAAAATTTTTAAATGGCTCAGTTTTCTTAACACATTAGTGCAAATTAGCAAACTTCTAGAAGAATTCAGTCATGGAAAGAAGGAAGCATAATTTCATCGTCATTAGCTCCTTGTCGATACCGAACTGAAGAGAAGCCCGCCCAAAGCAATCGTTTCCTTTGTAAGAGGCACCAAATCAGTGCGCTGAAGAGAGCTAAGACACTTAGCACTGCAAGTGTGATAGCTATTGCTTTGTGATCAGGTCCTGGTATAGGGAAAGATTTGACATTGGAGGAGGCAATACAAAAGTGATAATTATTAATGATTTTGTACATTGAACTGAGTATATCACCCTCCTTTGATAGCAAAGTGCCAACAGTTGTAATTTTCATGTTTGATTCATCTAGGCACAAATAAAATATTATTTGCTTTAAAATGATTTGAGCCTCTCGGGATGACCTCATTTAGTTCCTAGCTAGTCAACTTGAAATGCTGTCCCAGGCCCCTTCTCCATCTCTGTATACTCCTCAGATGGAGTCATTCTGTCCTACAGCTTTAAATACCATTTCTATGCTAAGGACCCTCAGCCCTGTCCTCTCTCTCCTATGCCCAACTGCATACTAGATTATCGCCATATGAATATCTCGTTTCCATAAGGACAGCTCAAAATGGCCAAAAGAGAACTCGATTTACACCATCCTAACCCTGCTCCCACCTACGCTAAAAATCTTCCAGTTGCTTTCTATTCCACCTAGAACAGAACCAGAACTCTTGACCCTTGCTTCCAAAGCCCTACATGTCTGGTACCTGCCTACGTTTCCACTCTTCCTTGAGCTTTCAGCAAGCTCATCCTGCCTTTGGGTCTTTGCTCCAGTTGGTACTGCTGCCTGATATGCCTTTTCCCCTGATTTTTGCTTGGCTGTCCTTTCAGATCTCAGCTTCAATGTCTCCTGTCCTATGACATCTTCCCTGATAAGCCAATCTAGAGTAGCTACCCACCTAGTCTCGATCATATCACCCTTCAATTTGCTGCACAGAGTTTATAACTATTTGAAATTTTTCTCTCTTTAAAAAATTTACCAGCTTAGTTATTTATTATCTGTCTTCCTCCATGAGATTGTAAGCTGTGTCAGAACAGGAACCTTATCTATCTGATTCATTGGTACATCCACACACATAGAACAGGGCATGACATATAGTAGATACTCTAAATATTTGTTGAAGCAATGCATAAATATATAGATACCAATCATCTAGAAATGGGGTTTTATCTTTAATATTTGTGCACCAAAATGGACATTTTTATCCCAGACCTTAGAAAATGTTGCTATGAAAATTCAGAGTTTTTCCTCCAGAAATGAAGTTGTTAGGGTAATAGTTTTATGGTTTTTATGTATCAGTTCATGATGAAACATAATTTCAATTTATGATTGCCTACAGATACTTGGAAAGTTTTAAGTAATTAAATCTGGTTTCGCATTGTTTTTAAGTTAATCATGAGTTTTACGGAAATGCAGAAAAAGGAAAACAACCAACTGCAGAATAGACCTTTACGTTTTTACATATTTAAACTATAGAGTAAAATACATCTTAAAGATATTTCCAAAGTAATTACTTCCCTAAAAATCTGCCAGCTCCCATACTTCTTAGGAAAGAATTATACAAAGTT